TTACCAGATCCCAGATGGAGAAATATTTATTGGATCCCAGGGGGAGTAATCTTTACTGGATCACAGAGGGAGAAATATTTACCAGATCCCGGGGGGGATCTTTACTGGATCACAGAGGGAGAAATCTTTACCAGATCCCAGGGGGATAATCTTTACTGGATCACAGAGGGATAAATATTTACCTGATCCTGGGGGAGTAATCTTTACTGGATCACAGAGGGATACTTTTTTTTTTACCAAATCCCAGGGGGATAAAATTTTACTGGATCACAGAGGGATACATATTTACTGGATCACAGAGGGACAAATCTTTACCAGATCCCAGGGGGGAAATCTTTACTGGATCACAGAGGGAGAAATCTTTACTGGATCCCAGGGGGATAAATCTTTACTGGATCACAGAAGGAGAAATCTTTACCAGATCCTAGATGGAGAAATATTCACTGGATCCCAGGGGGTATAATCTTTACTGGATCACAGAGGGAGTTTTATTTATTTTTTACAAGATCCCAGGGGGAGTCATTTTTACTGGATCACAGAGGGATAAATATTTACTGGATCCCAGGGGTGACGAAAGTGTTTACTGGATCCCAGATGAATAAATATTTACCATGTCCCAGAAGTAAAAATCTTTAGTGGATCCCAGGGAGATAAATCTTTACCAGATCCTGGTAGGAGAAATCTTTACTGAATCCCAGGGGAGATAAATATTTACCATTTTCCAGAGTGAGAACTCGTTACTGGATCCCAGAGGGAGAAATATTTACTGGATCCCAGAGGAGATAAATCTTTACTGGATCCAAGGAAGATAAATCTTTACTGGAACCCAGGGAGATAATCTTTACTGGATCCCAGAGGAGATAAATATTTACTGGATCCAAGGAAGATAAATCTTTACTGGAACCCAGGGAGATAATCTTTACTGGATCCCAGAGGAGATAAATATTTACTGGATCCAAGGAAGATAAATCTTTACTGGAACCCATGGAGATAATCTTTATGGGATCCCAGAGGAGATAAATATTTACTGGATCCCAGGGGAGATACATCTTTACTAGATCTCATATGAATAAATGTTTACCGGATCACAGGGGAGAGAAATCTTTATGGGATCCAAGAGGGAGAAATATTTACCAGATCCCAGAGGGAGAAATCTTTCAGCATCTACAGCGGAGAACAGAACAGGCAGATCTTAGATGGAAGTGGAGACACCTGGGCTAAATGAAGACAGAAAACTAAGATGCTGGAAAAACAACAACAACAACAAAAAAGCTCACAGATCCTGACAGAATCTATTTGTGGTTGCGTTGCCGTAGCGTTACCAAACCGGTGGGTAAAAATAAAACAAAAGCAGACAAGTTTTGAAATGGTTGTTTTAATAAAAATAAAAACCTTTCAGATGTTCAAATCCCTCTTCATCCATAGTAATCACACACATTCTGAGTGTGTTGCTGAATGACCTCCATGTTCCTGTGACGTTTCTCTTTTTATTCATGATTGGACCCTCCTGCTGCCTTACAATCAAACTGTTGGATCCTCAAGACGAAGCCAAGGGCAGCAGGAGGGTTAACTCTTGAAAGGAGTTGGACCGTCTGTTCCGTCTCGTTACTTTTGTGTCTTTTTGTTTTGTTTCTCTCTGGTGGTGGTGGTGCTTTCATTTCTGCTCTCTGAAGACGAGAAAGACCAAAAGGCGGTTGACTGTTGATCCGGTCGATTTTAGACTCGGCTGTGAACGCTCCGACAGACGACGCCAGGACCAGGTAGAACTTAATGTGAACCATCGTTTCTTCAGGCCTAACTAACCTGCTGCTTTGTGTGTGTCCGATCGATCGACTGCAGAAACTCTTAATCAACTCTCCATTCAGTAAATCAAAAGGAGCCTTAAAAATTGATTGAAGCTGCAGAGAAGCTTTCAGCTACTGTTTAGCTAGTTTTAGCATTAAGCTACTATTGTGCTAGTTTTCGCTTTCAGTGACTGTTCTGTTAGTTTTTAGCTTTCTGCTAGTTTTGCTGCTTTTTTTAGTTATTAACAAGTGTTCTGTTAGTTTTGTCTTTAGCTACTGTTTTGATCGTTTTAGCTACTGTCCTACTAGCTTTAGCTATCAGCTACTGTTTAGTTAGTTTTGTTTTTGGCTGCTGTTCTAGTTTTATCTTTCAGAAACTGTTCTGATCATTTTATCTTTTAGTAGTGTCAGATTTTGCTGTTATTTTGACGTCTTTACTAATGAACTCGGTTTCGGCTTCTTTGGCAGTTTCGAGCAGTCGTTCAGCTTCACTCTGTCTTTTCACAGAAAATAAGAACTGAACTTGCTGGGGGGTTAATTTTGACTGTTATTGAACAAAAGGACATTTTTTACTTTAACTAAATTCTTTATTTTTCTGGTTTTGTGCATTTAATCAAAGACTTCACTGTTTTTTACTCTGTCTGCTTGAACCAAAGCCACCACCCTCGCAGTTCCTGGATGGCCCCCGTGATGTCATGGACAGAGGTCAGAGGTCACTGCGGCTGGTCGAGGCCGATATGGCAGCTGGTTTTAACCAGAAGGTCCAGGAGCAGCACAGAGACTTAGACCTGGACCTGGACCTGGACCTGGCTTCACAACACGGTAAAGTTTTAACTCGAACAGAAAAAGTTCAAACCAGCTGCAAAGATCTGTAAAAGAAATAGATTTTATTTTATTTCTGTGATTTGACATGATTTCATTGTTACCAGATATGAATTAAAGTGCGGTCGTTTTGGCCTCAAATTGACATATTCTCCTCAGTCAGCTGGTTAAAGGTCAAAGGTCACGACTAAAAAGAGTTTGTTTGTTTTTTAAGATGACCTCATGTTTGTGGAGAATAAGACCGTCCCGTCTCGCTCCGCGTCCCGGCTCAGCTACTCCTCGTGGAGCAGCGGCGGCGCCGGAGGCCTCCGGGGAGGCGGCGGCAACGCACCCGGACTTTACGACTCTGATCCAGAGGACGACCTCGGCCGACGGTACCCCGTCTATCTGTCCCACCCAGGCCCGGACGGCCACACGTCTCAGGAGGGCCAGAACCCAACGAGCTCACCGCCACAGGTCTTTATTTATTTTATTTACTTTGTCCTCCGACGTCACATGACCTCGCAAGGCTCGGCTTCATGTTTTATCTTGTACCTGCGCCACGTCTCAGACCGTTTGAAACCACGTGTTGAACTTTGACCCAGAGCCCCTCGTCATCCTCAGACAGAGCGAGGAAGAGGAGGCAGCTGCTGCCTTCGTTACATCAGAGTCTATTTCTGGCTTCGCTGGAACCCCGAGAAGATTCACAGGAACTGTTCTCCTCATGGAGGGCTGATAAACAACCTTGTTTACCTCCGTCACGTCAGAACCTCCTGACTCCTCCAGGATTTGGTTTCATGTCTGGAATAGAACTTTATCCGAACCCAAACATCTTCGGATCTAGAGATCTGGATGTTCTGTTGTCTCACAGCTGCAGCGGGACACAAACAGGATGTCAGAGTCGCGCCTGTCACTCATCAACATTTGGCCGCCGATTTCTGATTGGCTGCCAGGTCTCAGCATCCTCAGACGACCCGTCACGCGCTCACATGTGGGTCTGGGCGCCGTTCAACCCAAAGACTCGAGTGACGACGTCAGGATGAGTCAGCAGAATCTGAGGAGCTCAGAGGACTGAGGCAGCGTTTGTCTGTGAAAATACAGAGCCAAGTTGAACGACAGCCGAAATTAGCTTCTGAAGTTAATGCTGAGACGGTAAAGCTAAAACAAAACAACAAGATTTCCAAAGAGCAGAACAGAAGCTACAGATTGTAAGAAGAAAAATGGTAGCTAAAAGGAGGAAGGTTAACTACGAGTGACAAAATGACATATAAATGTAGCAAGATGTAGCTAAATGTAGCTGAAAGCTGATTTTACCAAAAGACTAGTTAAAAGACAAAAAGGGACAAAAAGACTAGCCAAAGCTGGCCAAAAGTAGCAAAAGGCTAGCCGTAGGTGGCAAAAAGGCTAAACAGAAGCGGAAACAGGTTAGTCTAAAGTAGCAAAAGGCTAAACAAATAAAATGAAAGACCAGACAAAAGTGGAAATATGCTAGCCAAAAGTGGCAAAGGGATAGACTAAAGTGGCTAAATTCTAGCTAAAAGCAGCAAAAGGCTAGCCATATGTAGCAAAAAAGCTAGCCAAAAGTGACAAAAGGTGCTGCCTAAAGTGCCCCCTAAAATAGCAAAAGACGAGCTGAAAGAGGTAAAAGGCTAGCCAAAAGCAGCTAAAGGTTAAACTAAAGTGGCAAAAGGCAAGATGGAAGAAGCAAAAGTCTATCCAAAAGAGGCTAAAGTCTAATCAAAAACAGCAAAAGGCTAGCCAAAAGCAGAAAAAAGCTAGACAAATAAAATGCAAGGCCATACAAAAGTGTAAATATGCTAACCAAAACCGGCTAAACTGTATCTAAATGTTCTAAAGTAAACAGTTTGCATTAATTCATCTGTTTGTTCTGGTTTTATCCGAATTACTTTAGAGACGAGCCACATGTTTCTGTGCTTTTTGTCAGATTTTAGTCTTACTTTTCAGTTTCTGATTTAAGTCTCATTTCACGTCTTTCTGCAGATCACTGACCTGAACAGACGAATGTCGGCCGTCGAGACTCTCCTTAGTCGCCTGGAGCTGAAGGTCGCCTCGTCGAGTAACGAGGTAAGCTCACTAAGCACTAACTGGAGGCCAAGTAGCAAAATGCTAGCTAAATGTAGCAAAACACAACCTAAATGCCTCAAGCAGCCAAATACTTGCTAAAATTGTAGCTAGAAGCTATAAGTAGCAACAGTCTAGCTAAGAGCGAAAAGCAACAAAATGTTAGCTAAAAACTTAAAGTAGCAAAAGCTAGCTAAAAGTAGCAAAAGGCTGGCATGAGCTGTGACGTTTTGACTATTGAACTTGTTCCAGCTAGCTTTTCATTTCTGCTGAAATTGTTATTCCAAGAGTGATCTGCAGCAGGTAAGACATTTACGATCTTTTCACCGAAGCCTATTTCAAAAGAGCTGAAATATCACTTTAAGAAAGTAGATGAAACGGTTTTACTTTGCCACCGTCTTTGACCATCAAAAGTCAAGTTACCAGTCAAACAACTGATGCGCTCCAAGTCCTAACTTTCAGGCCTGGTTCTGAACACATTTACCGACCCAGTTTGTCCTTTTGTTCCTCAAGAACCTGGCTTCGAGCCCACAGACCCCAACTCCTCCTCAAGGGGAGGAGGTGGACCTGGAGGAGCAGCAGCTCAGGCAGAAACTGCACAAGTTGACGGACAACATCAGTGACCAAAGTTCTGATGAAGACAGGTCCAGCGGGCCACAGTCCTCTCAGGAGATCCCAGCCTGGAGAAGCCCACAGGTGGACCTCAAGCCGTCCAGGATTCCCACCAGATCCAGTTCCAGATTGAGCTCCAGGAGCTGCAGGTGGGAAGAGGAGCTGGAAATGAACTCTGAGCAGGTAGTGATGTCCAGATGTTCTGATCAACATCTGGTGAAAAACTGACCAATCAGGGTCACCAGCAGAGACCAAAGCTTTGGCTCTTGTCACCTCCAGATGACCCGTTCTACAGAAAGCCCAGAGAGGAAGGAGGTGCCTCCGCAGGAGGCTTCGGCGCCGAGCTCCAGAGGCTCTACAGCGTTCCTCGAGGAGCTGGAGGACAAAGTGGCTCAGGCTGCAGCCGAAGTCCAGAACGCCCAGAGTCAGGTCTGATGGTTACAGAAGCTGAAGCTTCAGTTCTGTTCTGACAAACGTGACCTTTGTTTTCATCTTGACCTCCAGGTGTCTTTCATCGAGGACAGGATCGCTGCCCTGAACGCAGCCGAAGCACCGCTAGAGAGAAGAAGAAGAGTAATTGAATTCACGTTTTTATTTCCAACAGCTGAGGCAGAGCCGCACACAAACAGAACTGAAACTGTAACTGGTGTTTTCTGTTTCGGCTGGGAGAAAACAAGCATGAGAGCTGAATGACAGCTGATGTCAGCCGAAGAAGTCATAACTGAGTTGATAAAGTTTAATGAACAGAACGTTAACAAGCTGGCATTGGCTTACAACCAAAAACAAGAAGTGATTAACTAAAAGTAACATAAAGCTAAACGTTACAAAGGCTTGCTAAAAGCTAAAAATAGCTAAATGCTAAGTAAAACCCTTAAGTAGCTAAATGATAGTTAAAAGTAGGCAAAGGATAAATAAAAGTAACAAAACAACAGCTATGAGCTAAATGAAGAAAACACAAGATAAAAAACAAAAGTTGGAAGAGGTTAGCTAAAAGTAGCTAAACGCTAAATGTTGCAAAATGCTTGCTAAAGCCAAAAGTATCAAAAGGCAAGTTTAAAAGCTAAAAGCCACAAAAGACTTGCTAAAAGTTTAAAATAGCCAAATGCTAGCTAAAAGCAAAAATTAGCTAAATAATAGTTAAAACTTCAAAATGCTAGATAAAAGTAGGTAAAGTATAGTTAAAAGCAGCAAAAAAAAAAAGCTTTAAGCTAAAGTAGTAGACACTACATAAAACAGGTAAAAACCAGAAGTAGAAAAATGTTAGCTAAAATTAGCAAAAAGCTCAACGTTGCAAAATGCTTGCTAAAGCTAAAGGTAGCAAAATGATAGCTTAAATAAATATTAGGGAAGAGATAGCTATAAGCTAAATGTAAAAATGCACCATCTTACAGCTGAATGTTGCAAAAAAATGCAAGTTTAAAGTACAGAAGTTATGGCTAAAGATCAAAGTAACAAAACGTTAGCTAAAGGCACCAAAATTAAATATAAAAGTAGTAAAAGGCTAACTATCTAAAAGTGACCGTAGCAAATTGCTAGGTAAAACAAAAAGTTAACAAATAATAGCTAAAATCTATAACTTAAAATTCTTACTAAAAGATGAAAAACACTAACAAAAGATTAGCTAAAGTAGCCAAAAGCTACATGTACTAAAAGGCTAGCTGAAGCTTGAAATAAACTAAAGGTTAGCTACAAATAATAAAAGCCTTACTGAAAGCTACAAGTAAAAAAATGCTAGCTAAAGGTTAGGCGGCAAAAGGCCTTCTGCTGAAGCACCATAAAAGAAGCTAAAAGTAGCTAAATGTTAGCTGAAAGCTGAAAGCCCAGGAGGTAGACAGTAGAAGATGAACAGAATCTGTTCAGTGAAGAGAAAACTATTATAAATGATTTGAAAATAATTGAAGCGTTTTTATGGTGAAAAGTTAAATTTTTAAAAAATGTTCGAGTGAAAAAATAAACGTTACGGCGCTCTTCTCCTGAACGAGCCGAAGGTTTTGATTTAGTTTCTGACACCTGGTTTCTCTGTCTGCAGTCTGCGATTCCAGTCCAGGCCAGACGATTCTCCCAGAACTTTCCCACGAGTAAGAGCTTCTCTCCGGTGTTTTCCTCAAACGACTCGACGTCTTAACCTCGTTAGACTCGGAGGACACGATGTTCTGCCGAGCGGTCCGGTGAACAACGGGTCCTGTTGTCTCCAGGTTCTGACTCATCGAGACAAACTAAGAACAGTTTAAATTAAACCGGGCTCCGGCCGGAACAGCTAGACTAACTGTTCTCAGACGTAAAACCAGAATGACTCTCAGATGATTCTCGGAGGAGCGCGGGAGGTTTTCATTGAGCAGAATCTCAGCGTTCGGCTCCTAAATCACTAAAATCTCTTCTTCGTAGTTCCTGTGATCGCTTCAAAAACTTTATCCTCCCTGACCGTAAACCTCCAAGAACCTTCAAGTCTGTTCTGGACTTACGTCAGACTAGATGTTAAACTAATCTGATGGATTAACTGTCCTCCTTTACAGCAGAATGTTTGGGGTCCAAACACAGAACCATGCATCAGGAATCAGTACTATGAAACTAAAGGTCACTTTCACCACATTTATTAACTTTAAACTTATTTTTTAAACAATTCTTATGAATTTGACACTTGACTGCCTGCAGGGGCTCCCTGGTTTTAGTTGTTTTAGTTTTTAGGAGACACCAAAACATCATTCATGGTCTAGAGTTCAGTTTTGCCCCCAAAATGCCGTGATTTTTCCGAAACCATTAGTTGGAAACGCGGCTCGCTGGTCACAACATTTAGAGTTCAGTGAGACTGAAACTTTACTTGATTTTTAAGGGATAGTATAAAAAAGTTAAACCCTCAGAGAATCTCTCAGCAGGATTAGGATTAGTGTGTGGCCTATGTGGGCGGAGCTTATCAAACACACGTTAGAAGGCTTTTCTGTGAATTTGTGGCACTCTTGGAGTTCCATACCCAGGTACATTTGGATCCCCTGACCTGCGGCGCTTTTCCACACTGTTCTTTTTTTGTAATTGTCATTTATTCATTGATTTAAAAGAAACAAATTCATTAAAAAGAAAAAACATTGAATGAAAAAGGTGCAGAAAGAAGACGAAAATTATTATATTATCTGCCCCTTATTAAAAAAAATAATAATAATAACTACAAACAACAACTTAGGATTGAACAATCTCTAAAGTGAAAACAAAAATACCACACTTTCCTAAGAATTTTAACTTAATCATCTTTTTAAACATATAAATTGTTTTAGATTTTTTTTTATGGTGATATTAAGACAGTTCCATAATCCTGTTCCCTGAATTACAACGCTCCTTCAGATTAGTTCTAAATGGAGGTTTTACAAATATTTCCATTCCCTTAAGGTTATAATGACTCTTTTATAACAAATTTTATTTGAATATTTGGGGTAATATTTTATGGGCTTTACACATGATTTGTAAAATACTATATTCAACAAAATCATAAAATGTTAATAATTTCAACAGATGAAATAATATATTTGTTGGGTGACCAGAGCACTTCCTACTAATAATTCTTATAGCTCTTTTTTGTAAAATGAAAATAGTTTGTAATTGTTTTGCGTGCTTTTCCCCAAACTTCAATACAATAGATTAAATATGGAACAGTCATTACATTCTATATATAAAACTTTGTCACTCAAAAGCTTTTTTACTTTATACAGTAATGCAATTGATTTAGCTATTTTTATTTTTAATTTACATGAGATTTCCATATCAGCTCATCAATAACACCAAAAATGTTATTTCATTAACTCTGTGAATTTCAGTACTGCCAATTTTAAATGGTACTTTGATAATTTTCTTTCTATTACTAAATATCATAGTTTTTTTTTTCTCCAAATTTAATGATAACTTATTAAGTTGGAACCAAGTTTGTATTTTTATGAATTCTGCCTTTATCATCTCTAACATCCGTTCAATATCTTCACCCGAACAAAAAAAATGTATCATCTGCAAATAAAACACACTTCAAAAGTCCTGACACGTCAACCAGATCATTCACATACAAAATAAACAACTTTGGTCCCAACACAGATCCTTGAGGAACTCCACATCCATAACACAAAATTTAGATCTTACATCGTTTACTTGTACAAACTGTCTCCTGTTATTCAACTAACCAAATATTCAGTGTAGAGTTAACCCTCTAACGCCGTATTTATTCAGTTTTTCAAGGAGAAGGTGTGGTCAGTACAGTCAAAGGTCTTTTTCAAATCAACAAAAGCGCTAACACAATCCTGTTTTTGATCGGCAGCAGTTATCTCTTCTATTAGGTCCATGAGAGCCAGTGATGTTGAATTATTTCTCTAAACCCATATTCACTATTACTTAAAATATTCTGTTCATCTATAGATCGATCTAATCTGGTTAGATTAGATCGATCTTTGGAAACTTTCTTGCTCCACTCTGCTGTCAGCTGCTTTAGACCGGTTCTTTTCAGTTGTAGACCAGCTTCTAGTGTTTGGACCTGGACGTCTGAACCGACACGGTTCAGTTCTAACACAGGTGTCGTTACACCCGTTAGGACCGGAGCAGCTGTTTTCTGAGTCTGGCATGTCTGCAGAGTTTTGGTTTTTAAAGTCATGTTTTGACCTAAAACTCCAGCTGTTTGTTTTCAGACCAGGTGGACCCGTTTGACAGGAACACGCTCTACCGGGGCTCCCTGACCCAAAGGAACCCGGCGGCAAAGCCCAAAACCCGAGCTGCCTGTGCGGTACGACCCCGCTCTGGTGACGGGCGCCTCCGAGAGTTCACCTCCAACCAGGCTGACACCCGGGAGCAAAAACTGAATCAGAGATCGAACCAAACTGAGTTTCCTGCAGTTTGATGAGAAGATCCAGGAAGTCAAATCTGGATTTTAGCGTCTTCGTTCAGTTCTTGTAGCGAGGCGACAGATTTTAGGGGGATCGTTTGATGAGTCAGTATCTTACCTGCAGCAGAAAGCCATCAGGCTAGCCTCAGATTGGAGGATCAGGGGACTCGATAATGATCCTGAAGAACTTGGTGTCAGATCTTGAATTTGGAGATGAACTCTTGGTTCTCGGGTCATTCTGGTTCTGATTGGGTTTACTGTGATCCCCCCCTCACTTCAAACACTTTCCTGATTTCACCTGTTGCTCTCCTTCACCTGAATCTTCTCTATCATGAATTAATTATCTTGATTTAATTAATTAATTATTTATCTTGAATTAATTGTATCTATGAATCTTCACCAGCATCTCCTGCACCTGGCAGTCTTCGATCTGGGTTTTATAATCATGGACCCGCTCCCGTCTCTGACGCGCCCCTATAGTTACAAACCGACCCGCTCTGAGTCCAAAGTCTCTAACGGTCCTCCTGTGTTTGATTCTGCAGAAACCGGTCCTGACTCTGGGCTCATGAGGAGGAGGCTGAGCATCGTCTGACCTCGTTCAATAAAGTTCGAACAGTTTGAAGTCGCCTCGGCTCCTCCAGAAGCTTCAAGTCAAGAAGAAAGCGACTAAATTAAAGTTCTGTTGACAAACATCTAAACTCTGGACCGACCCGTCTACAGAACTCCAGAACTAAAACTTATTTAACGACTTTGTTGGGCAAATAATTGTGACTTTTTTATGTTAAAGGAACAAAAACCTTCATTTAATTCAACTTTTATGAGGTTTTGTTACTTTTTATTTATTCACATATTTCTTTCTGTTGCTTGTGATTTATTGGTTTAGATTTTAGCTTCAAACGTGTAAAAATTGTTTAAATTCTTTTAGAAACTCCGGCTGTTTTTTCTAAAAACAAACCGATTAAATGTTTTTCTCCTGTTTTACGTTTTCTCTTACTTTTTTAATTTTTTGCACGAGTTTCAACAGAAATGAACCCGTTTGTGAAACATTTGGGTTTTCTTTAGAAACCGAACAGTTCTGAACGGTTCAGGTGGAATAAAACAAGCTGTGAGTGTTTACACCAGAACCAGAACCGGCCCGGGTCAGGGCCCGGCTCTACAGCAGGAGGAGAACCGATTGAAGGAGCTTCCGTGTTTTGGGTCGACGAGCGGCACCTCCTGCCACAATGACAGAACCTCCTGCTGCCCCCCCACGCACTCATGGACCCTGTGGACTGAACCAGAACCAGAACTCTGTCAGCAGAAACTGGACCTGTCAGCAGCTCGGATCTGTAGCTCTCTGCTGCCCCCTGGTGGAGCAGGAGGTTACAGCAGAGTGTGCTTGATTTAGTTTGTTTGTTTGTTTGTTTGTTTGTTTGTTTGTTCTGGACTCACCCACATCCAACAACAACTGGTTGATCTGGTCTCCCGACAGAGCTGACGTCTCTGTGAAGGACAGGCCGTCCTCTTCGGCTACATTCTGTCCCTCCTAAACACAAAATGAAACGTTCAATTATTGTTTACGATAAACATTGTTTACAATCGTTGTTTACATGTTTGTTTCTCAGTTCACATATTTTAAAACTATTGTAATGAACCCGTTTAAACATCAAAACGTTCGGCTCATCCAGCTGATGGCTGCTGTGAGTTAGCTTGAAGCTAGCCTTTTGCTGTTCTTAGCTTTAAGCTAACCATTGTTGTCTTTAGCTTTTAGCTAGCCTTCTGCTGCTTGCAGTTTTAGCTAATCTTTTACTGTTCTTAGCTTTCAGCTAACTGTTGCTGTCGATAGCTTTTTGCTTTAGCTTTTTTTTGTTGCTACATTTAACTTTAGATAACTTTTTGCTGTTTTAGCTAACATTTGCCTCTTTTACCTTGAATCCTCTTAGCCAAAGTTAGCTTTAGCTAATGTTTAGCTTATTTCAGTTAGTGCTTTGTTTCTCAGCTTTTGCTACATTGAAGTCCTAGCAAGTCTTTTGCTAACTTTAGATTTTATGCAGCTTACCTTTGGCTGCATTCGGCTGTTAGCTAATCTTTTACTGCGTTTTGCTTTCAGCTAACCGTTGTTACTTTTAGCTATCATCGGGCCTTTTTGCTATTTTAGGCTCTCTAATGTTTTGCTTCCATTAGCTTTTAGCTAGTGTTCAGCTGAGCTCAATGATTTCTGATTCTGTTCGGCTTCTTCGGCTCTCATTCATTTCACATTTCTCTGGATCTTGGTACCTGAGCCGAAACCTGCCGGTCCTGGTCCAGGTCTGCCTTGTTGCCCACCAGCCAGAGCACGGTGGATCCGGGGACGTAGTGTTTCTGCAGCTCTCTGATCCAGAGCCGGGCTCGGAGGAAGGTTTCCTGCGGAGGATGGGACAGAACCAGGGTGGGTCCAGATCTGACCCCTTCGGTTCTGTTTTCAGACCCGGACCTTAAAGAACTTTGATGTTTACCCGTTTGCAGATGTCGTAGACCACGAGTGCAGCGTGCGCTGCTCGGTAGTACAGCGGGGTCACGCTGTGGTACTTCTCCTGACCCGCCGTGTCCCAGATTTCCAGACGGAACGTGACGTCACCTAAATGCAACACTCGGGTCAAATACGCACCTGAAAGCAGCAGAGAGGACACCGATCAGGTCCAGAGAGATCAGACAAAAAACCTCAACTGGAGACAGAACACCAGGTCTTAGTGGGCCTGTGGGTGTCACAGTCTGCACGGATCCTGGACCAGGTCTTTACCCTCACCAGAGTCCTCAAGGAAGCCCGTCCAGTCTGTTTTGTGGACTTGGGAGTCCGGATTCCTCGAGGTACACTGTGGGGGGTGCTCTGTGAGGATGGGATTTGGGGTCCGTTGCTACGGGTCATTCAGTCCTGACACAAGTGGTGCGAGAGTTTGGTTCCCTGTGCTTGCAGTAAGTCGGACCCCTTCAGGGTTGGAGCTGGACTCTGCCAATCCTGCTCAGACCTTTTGTGGACAGAATGTCTTGGTGCAGCCAGGAGGAGGGAGTCCGGTTCTGCTGTTTGCAGATGATGTGGTCCTGTTTGCTTCTCTGGGGCGGTTCATAGCTGGGCTGAGGATCAGAACCCTCCCTTGCCCTCAGTTAGAGGGTAGACTGGCCTCTCTGGGTCAGGTGGAGGAGTTCAAGTATCTCAGGGTTTGGTTCTCAGTCAATGGAGAGTATGCAGTATTGTGGACTCTGCTGGTCCGTTGTGGTGAAGAGGTACCTGAGCTGCAAGGAGAAGCTCTGTTTACCGGTCTGTCTATGTTCCTACTCTCACCTGTGGCCCTGAACTCTGGGCAGAGACTGAAAGAACCAGATCCACAAGGTCTAAAGGAGTTTTCGGTGCAGGGTAGCTGGACTTTCCCTTAGAGATAGGGTGAGAAGTTCAGTTCTCCAGGAGAGACTCGGAGTAGAACCTCTGCTCCACATCCAGCTGAGGAGGTTCATCTGGTAAGGATGGACCCTGGACGCCTCCCTAAGGAGATGATCTGGACATGTCCAACTGGAAGGAGACCCCGGGTAGGACCCAGGACATGCTGGAGAGACTCTGTCTCTCAGCTGGTCTCCCAGCGGTGTCTCTGGACCTTCTCAGGCTGCTGCCCCGACTCCTACAAACCATCGCCTTTACATCGGTTCTGGTTTTGTTTTGTTTGTTTTTACCCCTGAGGGTCCAAATATTAGAGTTTTATGTTTTGGTTTGTCTGCAGAGTTTAAATTTGACATTTTCAGACATTAATTTTTTTAATAATTTCCTACGATTGCGGCTCTTGCCGAGTTCCTGCTACTTTTACCGACCTGTCGATGGTCGACCTCGACCTGTCGATGGTCGACCTCGACCTGTCGATGGTTGACCTGTCAATGGTTGATCTGTCTATTGTTGACCTGTCGATGGTTGACCTCGACCTGTCGATGGTTGATCTGTCGATGGTTGACCTGTCGATGGTTGATCTGTCTATTGTTGACCTGTCGATGGTTGACCTCGACCTGTCGACCTCGACCTGTCGATGGTTGACCTGTCGATGGTTGACCTGTCGATGGTGTACCTCGACAAAGCAATCCAGCAGGGTTTTCATTCCTCAGACGGGTGTTGCTCCGTCAAAGTGTTTTTAGAGTCGGTTCTGATAAGAACGGGTTCGGGTGAATAAATCCTACATTATACAGGTTCTGTTGAGTCACTCACAGCCGACAGTCGGAGACGTGTTCCTAAACTGGTCTCTGCTGAACCTCAGAGCCAGGCTGGACTTCCCCACTCCAGAGCTCCCCAGAAGGACCATCTTCACCCTGAGGGTCCGAACGGGCCCGAGCCGGGCGCCGCCAGTGGTTTCTGCCATGAAGGCAAACAAAACAGGTGCAAAGGTTAGGTCCAACAGGATCCGCAGGTTCTGATCCAGCAGGTTTGGACTCTAAATGAAAGTAAAACCTGAGTCTAGAGGAAAAAGTTCACTTCCTGGTTCAGAACCATAAACCTGCAGGATGGGTTCTGTTCATCAGACGGAGGGAACTTTCCTTTTTACAGTTCAACCCTCCTGCTGCCCTGGGGTCAGGCCTCAGTTCGTGGGTCATTTTGAAAGTTTCATTAAAATCAGGCCCGTGGTTCATGAAATATTTTGCTAACAGACGAACAATTAAATCTGTGATGCAGGCTGTAATGACGCTGCTTGGCCACCAGGGGGCAGCAGTCTTCATCTCACGGCCTGGCTGTAGCTACAAATTTACAAAAAATAAAACTTTAACTTCAACACGAGCCACAGATGTTCCGAGGACAGCAGGGACCGTGTGGACAGCTCGATGTTTGTGGGACAGAATAAAACCGTTTCCTGTCTCTTTAAGACGCTCCGGACTGGGTTTTTGGTGCAAAGTGGTCATCATTATAAATAGCAGGTTGTCCCTGCGGGAGCTGCGGTTTCTGACCGAAACAGAATCCCTGAACGTCCCTGGAGTCCAATCAGCGCCATGCTGCGTTCACTTACAACATGGAAACCTCAACTCCTGGAGCCCAGAGTCCTCAAAACTACAAACTCACCTGTTATCCAAAAGCAACCGCCTTGACAGATGAGGCGAGATAATTCCTGTAAAAATAAAATAAAATCAGATTTTTTTTTAAGCGTTTAATTATTGACGGGCAACCATGTACATGTCTGTGTTGGTGTGTCCGTCTGTTAGTAAAATATCCCCTGAAATACAGCAAAAATGATAATGAAACTTACAGGAAGTAATCGTTGGATTAACATCTACAACTGATTTAATTTGGAGTCACACTGATTCAAAATGGACGCCACAGCTAACCTAACTTACCGAACCTATAAGCTAATCTGTTAGCATTAAGCTAAAACTTAGCATTAGAACTTTAGCATGCAAGAAGCGGGCGATATGCATTCCTAAAAGAAACGCTCTAATTTTATGAGGCTGTCTCATGACGTCACTCCGTGTTTCACGTCCCACAGTTGCGTCACGAGCCCGATTTTGTGAAACATTTAATAAAAAAATCCGACAGCACTTGAAGGCAACACCGCAGCCTCTGAAGTTTGAATCCGTCCGCTCGAGTTTCTGCCGTCAGAACCGGGACTTTTCTGAATGTACGGTTCAGTTTAGGAAGACTGGACTATTTTAATTTATATTTTCAGAACCAGAGGTTCGGTTCGTCGCTGTAGAAGCGGTTTCGGTTGATTAATTTGATAAAAGTTTGAGAAACACCGGAAGCGGAGATAAAAACAAAAAACGGATGTGTGACAACGACACATGAGGACTGACTGCAGCTGCTCGGTTCGGACCGTCGAACCCGCCGCTGCTGGACCCGAATTGTGAGCCTGTTAGACGGATTAAACCCAACAGAACCGAACCAAATGGGGACTCAGGGAACCGGACGGAAGAGATCCACCAAGAAGGAGCGGACCACGGCGGAGGAGGACGCCCTGAACCTGATAGCCAGAGAGGTGAGTGTCTGCGGCCGAACCGAGCCGAGTGTTTCCGAAGGTTCTGTTCTGGGAGGAGCTGAAGGTTCGGTGTGTTACCTCACCTGTAAGGAGACCGAACAACGGGTCCAAATGAGACCAGGTATACCGGGAAACATGAGAGGATCACCATGTAGAGGAAAAAAAGAGCTAAAACTGGATTAAATTAGCTAAAATGAGCTGAGCAGTTGCAAAAAGGGGCGGAACAGTAGCTAAAATGGGATGAACACTAGCTGAACTCAGCTGAACACACTGAAATTAGTTGAACACCAGCTTAAAGGAGCTAAATATCGATTAAACAGCTGCACTTCAGCTAAAATGAGCTGAACAGTGACTAAAATGAGCTGAACAGTGACTAAAATAAGCTGAACAGTAGCTAAAATGGGATGAACACTAGCTGAACTCAGCTGAACACGCTGAAATTAGTTGAACACCAGCTGAAAGGAGGAGAACACCAGCTTAAAGGAGCTAAATACCGGTTAAACAGCTGCACCTCAGCTAAAATGAGCTGAACAGTGACTAAAATGAGCTGAAGAGTAGCTAAAATGAGCTGAACAGTAGCTAAAATGAGCTGAACAGTAGCTAAAAGGGGCTGAACAGTAGCTAAAAGGGGCTGAACAGTAGCTAAAAGAAGCTGAACAGTAGCTGAACTGAGCTGGACCCTAGCTGAACTGAGCTGAAATGAGCTGAACACTGGCTGAAAGGAGCTGAACACTAGCTGAAAGGAGGTGAACACCAGCTTAAAGGAGCTAAATACCAGTTAAACAGCCGCACTTCAGCTAATATGAGCTGAACAGTGACTAAAATGAGCTGAACACTAGTTCAGATGAGCTGAAGGTTCAGTGTGTTAACTCACCTGTAAGGAGACCGAACAGCAGGTCCAAATGAGACAAGGTACACCGGGAAACATGAGAGGATCACCATGTAGAGGAAAAAAGAGCTAAAACTGTGTTAAATTAACTAAAATGAGCTGAACAGTACTTGGCTAAAAGGGGATGAACATTAGCTGAACACTAGCTGAAATGAGCTGAACACTAGCTGAAAGGAGGTGAGCACTAGCTGAAAGGAGGTGAACACCAGCTTAAAGGAGTTAAATACTGGTTAAATGGCTGCACTTTAGCTAAAATGAGCTGAACAGTGACTGAAAGGAGCTGAACACTAGTTCAGAGGAGCTTAATTCTAGTAAAAGTTAATAAAAACACTAGCTAATAGCAACACACTACTTAAAAGTAGCAAAATGTATCAAAAGGCTACTAAATAGCTTAAATCCTCAAAATGTGTCTAGGAGTTGAAAGTGGCAAAGGCTAGCTAAAACTAGCAAAAAGTTAGTTAATGCTAAAAGTAGCAAAGTGCTAGATGAATTCTGAAGTAGTCAAAGTGTAGCTATGAGTGAAATGTTAGCTAAAGACAGCGGATAATTAAAAGCTTAAAGTAGCAAAAGGCTAGTTAAACATAGCACAATGACAAAAGCTAAAATTTGTACAATGCTTGCTAAAGGCAGCAAATGTTTAGTTAAAAGCTAAATGTAGAAAAATCCATTCATTCATTCAACCTTTATTTAGACAGGTTAATCCCACTGAGCCTCGGGAACTCATTTACAAGAGAGACCTGATTTTAACAAAACGTGACGACAACAGTGAACAACAACAACAGTGGACAGTCATAAAAGAGGCATACAGATGTTATTTTATTATAAATTAAAATAAAATGGCAACCGAAAGGACAGTCAAAAGGAAAAAGTAGCCAAAAAAAAAGAACAGCTAGATTATAAGGTGATGTAGAAAACTAAAAACGGGAACATATCTGCATTGGTTCTTGCCATGAACTTAGCAGATGTTTGAAGCCACTCAGAGAGGTCAAGAGGTCAAGGTCGAGAGCTTCAGATCTTTTTTCAAGATATTCCAGGAAACAGGAGCGGAGTAGGAGAAGGCCCTTTTACCTTATATGGTAAAAATGGTAGAGCTGCTGCCTCTCAGTGAGAAGGTTGCTGGTTCAAATCCCAGTCTGGGGGACTTTCTCCGGTTTCCTCCCACAGACCAAAAACATGCACGTTAGGCTGAATGGTAACTTTGAATTGTTTCTAGGTGAGAGAGTGAACTGTTGTCTCGTTTGTCTCTATGTGTCCCTGTGATGGACTTGCGACCTGTCCAGGGTGTCCCCCGCCCGTCGCACAGTGACTGCTGGACATGGGCACCAGTGACCCCTGTGACCCAAAATGGAAGAAGCGGGTAAAGATAATGGATGGATGTGGTAGAAGAGTTTTCTCTAACACATCTGATGATCGTGTTTTAACATTTTGCTGTTAAGGACGACAGGTGATGTTAGCCTGTTAGCCTGTTAGCCCTCACTGATGCTACATGGAGCATCAAACACATAAAAAGGTGATATCATAATGTTCTGTCCATCCAGTCTTGTCCTGGACCTCAGCTGAAGGTGTGGACTACAGCTAAGGATGTCCTGGACCTCACTCAACTGAAGCTGTCATGGACGTTAGCTGAAACTGTAGACCTCAGCTGGAGACGTTGTGGACCTAGACAGTCTGTGTCTTTAAGCTGCAGCAGCAGAGGGGTGAAGTCCCTCTGTGGTTGAAGTCTCTCTGCGGTTCTGCTCGGGTTGGACCGGTCGGTATGTTCGCCTGTTCTGCTGAAGAGTTCTAAAAATAGACGCTGCTGAGAGATCAGCTGTTGCAGCGATCCGGTTTTAGACCTGGTCCTGGTGGTTTTGGTGGGGGTGGGGTTGCTTTTGGAGTCACCTCCTGTTTCCACTGATGTAAACCCACCTGTCAGAACCAGGACCTGGTGTAAACCCAGCTGTCAGAACCAGAACCTGGTGTAAACTCAGCTGTCAGAACCAGGACCTGAGCCTGATGTAAACCCAGCTGTCGGAACCAGGACCTGGTGTAAACCCAGCTGTCAGAACCAGAAACTGATTTCAGTCATTCCTGCAGCAACCCCCCCCCC